CGGCGTTTACATTCTAAATGCCACAAAATGGTAACTTTAGCGGCATTTTTATACAAAACGTCGCGATAGAGTAGTACTTTAGCGGCATTTGTATAAAAATGTCGTAATAGAGTTCATCTATAGTGGCATTTTTCAACAAACGCCGCAATAGAGTAGTACTTTAGCAGCGTTTTTATAGAAACGCCGCAATAGGTTCATCCATAGTTGTGTTTCTCAACAAATGTCATGACAGAGTAGTACTTTAGCGGTGTTTGTATAAAAATGTCGTAATAGGGTTTATTTATAGTGGCGTTTTATCGATAAATGCCATAAAAGAGTAGTACTTTAGTGATGTTTTTATACAAATGCCACAATAGGGTTCATCTATAGTGGCATTTTTTCAACGAACGCTGCAACAGAATAGTTCTTTAGCGGCCTTTTTTTACAAACGCTGCAATAGTTTGATATGTTTGTGGCATTTGGATTTAAAAACGCCGCAAATTTTAAAAGTTTTATCTCCCATCAGCCTAATCTAACCTTATATTTCCGTAACCTTTTCTACTTCCCGTCGATCTCCCCTTTTATTTTCCCTAACCTTTTCTTCTTCTCTAACCTTTTCGGTCCCTATTTGCTTCGCCAATTCCTCCCTTCCTATTCTCTCGACCTTTCCTTTGATCGTCTCCTCGATTCCTCTCCTTTCGACGCCGATCAATCTCTTCTAATCAATCACGCTCACAACCTAGGTTGCCTCTTCCTCCGTGTCGTGAATTGCTCCGCTCGCAAACGTACTTCGCTTCATTACTTCGTCGCTTAAGCTTGGTATAGTACCTGGAACAACTGGGTCTCTTGGTTCCAGTCAACCGTTGGTTTATACCATCAGGAACTCTGTAGATGTATCCAACTTTGCATGGAATGATAAAAGGACCAGGCAAGGGAAGGAATCATCCATTCTTACAAGGTCATGCTTGTATCCATTAAGTGGGGACAATGGAGCCACTGGGTATGGTTCAATGCATTAAATACTTGTTTAGAATCGATAATGTGTGACTATTTGTTCTGATTAGTTGCTTTTTTCCTACTGTAAGGATTCTTTTGAGGAGGTTGCATCTTTACAATATCCAAAAAAATGGATAATGCATCACTTTGTGTGGCATTAGCAGCATGTCCTTCTTTACTTGATTTGGAAATTGTTGGCCTGTGAGTTTCCTTATTTAAGCGGGTTCAACACTTTTCTTTCTTACCAACACAACCCATCTTGCTTTTCCTTATTTTTTTCCTTCTGTCCACTTGATTTTGCAGTAAGCTATTGTAGTTGGATGATGTTATGAGCAGTAAAAGCTTAAAAGTTGTTTCTTAATATAGATTTATTGATAAAATTACAAAACTCACAGAGAGATTGATTTTCAAGTGCATGATCATAAATCAGTGTACAAATATTCATAAAGAGCTGAGCAACTGAATTCAAATATGGGTATTAGTTAAACAATGAACAATCACTTTGTTATTATCCGAATCATTTCAGTTCTTAACACAGTCTAATGTGCAATTCGTGATGACAATACTGATTTAGATAGTAATTGTTTTAGAAGAGTAGTTGGTGTTTTTATATTCAACCTTCTAAGTTGTTGTCCCTCCTTTTAATGCAGTCATGTTGAGCTGAGGCAAACCTTGATGTCAGTGAGCTCAAACTGTCACTTCATAGAGCATTTATTCATTGAGTCTTCCAAAACATGTACTAAGTTTGTTCGTGATTTTTTCTTTTCTAAATGCTCGAAATGTCTTCTTAAAGTGTTATGATAATGTAGGAGGTGATGAAAGCTTGAAATCGCCAACATGTTTTGAGCTGGTGAACAATTGTCCTAATCTTTCTTCTTTGTCGCTGAGAGGCTTTAAACTGCATGATTATAAAGTTCGCATACTTGTTAAGGTATGCACTCATTTAATGTTGTTTAAAATTTTCTCTGTTTTGGTTTGCATTGCAAGAGCATGCTTAATGGAATGAAATCTTGTCAAACATTTAAAATCCCATGAATAAATTGATAGGGGGACAGGGTTTCATGATACTTTATTCAGGTCCTTTTTGCTAATTTTTTTCTTTTCTTGATTTTTTTACTTGCATATAGCAATTTTTTAAATAGGGACAAATTCAACTTTTCCCAATAAAATCAGAAATTCTAAATTGGTTTCTTGACAAGGTTCAATGGCAATGGTTTGAAAGTATTTAGGAAGGGTGGGTATGCAACTTTGCATACATTTATTTTGTTTTCTGGAAGAATGGTGATCCTCTTTTATTATACTCTTTTATTATACTAAACTGAACGGTGGTCTTATCACTTGCAGGGATTTCGTAAACTTAAATATGTTGATTTTTCAACGTCATACTCGATCACTGGAACCTTTTTGAGGTCCATACAACCCTTGTCAACCATACTTATGAGATTCTTTTGAAGTCTTTTTTTTTTTAAACTTATTTTTACAAACTACTCAGAAGTTCTCTCTTTGATCAGGAATTTGGGAAATGGCAGTGGTGGTGATCTACTATAGGTTTTAATATTGAGGGACTGCATGCATCTAAGAGAGGTGAGGACTAAAGAAGCACTTCCTTCTACAGAAAACACCTCACTGTCCTGTCTGACTTTTTAATTCTCACACAGATGCAAGTTGCTCAGTTCTTGACAGCTGTTTTTGAAGGAGATTTTAAGTTTCTTAAACATCTTGTGAGTGAAGTTCATATGTAAATATGATTTCACAGTACTTACTTTTTGGTGATTCTACTTTTGACCGTGCTTCCTTTCATCTATAGGACATATCTAATAGGGAAGGTTTATCTTCTTAAGGTGACTGGTATCAGAGATCTTATAACTCCAGGTAAATAAATCCTTTGCGAGTTCTTTTCTACTGATGACGTTGGTTTTTCTTTTATTAACATCTAATGTTGTTGTATCTCATGTAGTTTTATTCCTTTGAAGCAGGTTTCGGAAGTAAGACCTGATGTTTGTTTGCTGGCTAAGTTTCCATCAGAAGGTTGGTATGGTTTACTATTATACTTATTTAGTGGTTGCAATATTCTTTTACTATTTTTAACCCTCGAATAAACATTTTTAGTTAAGAAAATGGGAAGTTGCATCTTTGTATTTATTCAGATTTGAAGTTGAAGAAGTTCTTGTACATTATTCCATCGCCAAATATCTTATCATGTTTTTTCTTCTAGTTTATCTTCTTGTAATATATTATCTCTGAATCATTTTTTCATTGTTGTTTGAATTGAAGGTACATTCCTGATGAAAAGAATCAACTGAAGTTGCAAATCAATACAAATTGCCACTAGAAGATTGTTTTGTTCTATTGAACAATGTTTTTAAAATTGAAAGAGAAATAACTTAGACGAAATTCTAGTTAACAATATTGAACTATGTTACATTTTAATTTATTTTATAAATTTTGATTTATTTTTCTACATAATTTGTGTCGTAATTAAATTTTTTAAGTTTATTGTTATTAGATAATGCTATAGAATATTAAATTTGTGTAATGTAAAGTACAAAATGATATATGCGAAATCAGTTAACAATAGCGGCATTTGTAAATAAAAGCCACCATAAGTTAGGTTCTTTTGTGGCGTTTTGTGAAGAAACACCACTAATGACCACACATTTGCGGCGTTTGTTAAAAAATGCCACTATATACGTAGTTAATAACGGCATTTTTTACCACAAACACCGCTAAATATCATAACATGTAGCGGCGTTTTAGAAAACAAACGCCACTAAAGACAAGGTAATTAGCGGCGTTTTTCTTAAAACGACGCTATAGATCTTGACCTTCGGCGTTTTCCTTAAAAACGTGCTATTGAACTTAACCTTTTGCGGCGTTTTTAAGAAAAACGTCACTATAGAGCTGGACCTTTTACGGCATTTTGTTAGCGGCGCTTCTTGCGGATTTTTTACATACGCCGGGAAAATTTTTAGTGGCGCTGAAAAACACCGCTATAGAGCTAAAAAAAGCCGCTAAAAACCTATATTGTTGTAGTGGCACCACCTCCATTAAACGCTTACCCAATCAACAATTCACCATCTCCATCCAAGTTTAAACCACCACCTCCATCCAGGGCTAAACCAAGCATTAATGTACCATATGAAGTCCCATCCGAATCGAACTCGACTACACCACTGATCGCTTCACCACCAATGGAGTCTAGTGATGAGGGTGACAATTTGCATCCTTCAACAGCATCGCTGCCTAAAACATCTTGCAATAAACCACCAGCCCCGGCTACTTCTGTTCAAGTTCCAAGTCCTGCTAAATCTACTGCACCAGAATACATAAGCTCTGGGAATTATCTTGCTTCCATCCTTATGATTCTCATTGAGACTCGATTCTTCTTTAACATTGATAGATTGATTAGATTGTTTCTTGGATTTTAATCTTTGGGTTGTATTCATATACCATGATGACATTTTCTAATCTATTATGATGGCATTTTTCAATCATCGTTACTCGATTCTACAAATCTCAATGCGTTAAAAAAGGATTCTCTTTGTATGAACAACTAGGGAAAAAAATAAAACCCAGATTTTTAAGAACCAAGTTGATCTAACGGTGAAAACCAACTAATGAGGAAAGTTTATTTAGAATATAGAAAAATTAGATCCAACCATTATTGGATAGTTGGGTTCTCTAGGTTTCCTTATGCACCATTGTGTTTCTCCCATTTCAAATATTCCATTGCAGTACTATAAGAATCGTAAATCCATTTTCATCAAGGATATCAACGGCTATGATAATAGAACAGTCTTTCACTTTGATTAGAGAGCTTGAAGACAATATCTCAATCTTGTCCAACCTTATTTTAGTCGAAACTATCTCTAAACCCTAAAAATAATATTTTCATTGTGAAGCCACATGGTATAAAATCCAATTCTCGTAGCTCTTGTTTCATGCAACAGTTTTCATAGTGGTCTTCCTTCAAGAAATAAACAATAAAATAAAGTTTGTTTAATAAAGTGTATCAAGTGTCTCCCATGTCGACTTCAAAACCATCTACATTCTTCTTCTTCGTGGTGATATTATCAAGTGCACATGGATTCAACATCACCGAGATCCTTCAACCGCTCCCACATTTCAGCATTTTTAATTCACTTTTGGGTGGTACAGGGTTGACGGAAGTGATCAACGACATGATATCCGTGACGGTGCTTGTGGTGGCCGACGATCAGTTACGGTCCTTCAATTACTTAGCGGAGGATGAAGTGAGGAAAATCTTGAGCTTCCTTGTGGTGTATGGTTATTATGATCAGACGAGGCTCAAAGCCTTGACGGCCAGGACGATCCTCCCCACGGTTTACCAAGGATCTACCTTGACTGCTAACTACGACGGAAATGGTGCGGTTAGCTTTAGAGCGGCCGATTCAGGTCCCGAAATGGATGTCAAGTTGCTCGACACTGTTGAAGATAAGCCCCATAGCATTTCGGTTTTACAGATTGCTAGTACCATAAGGCTTGGCTCCGTATGCTGCTCCGAAAGCTTCCTCTCCTAGGAAAATGTTAGCATCAACAACAGCTCCTGCGTCTAGTACTCAAGAGAAGAAGTCTCCAGTCCTGACCCCGACCCCAACCCTTTCTCCTGCACCGCCTCCGAAGCAGACTCATTCTCCGGCACCGGTATCGGCCCCTAAGCCAACCCCATCTCTGGCCCCCTCCTCGAAGTCGACTCCTTCTTCGACACCAGTACCAGCCCCTAAGCCAACCCATAGTATCAAGACGGACATTACGTAACGTGTTATGGGTGTCGCGGGCGTGATCTCTTTCTCAAAAATCACCATACGTCTAAAATATTATATTTAAACATTTTATAGTTATCTTTTAATATACTAATATTAATATATTTTTTAATATTTTATTTTGAAAATAAAAATTTAATTTTATAGGTAAAAATTTATTAAAAACAAATAAACCATAAAAATGTTATCATACTGGATAATAGGTAATAACAATTATAATGTTAATGAATAACATATAAACAATATCACTAAAATCATATCAAATTTTTTATATTGCAACATAAAAATGTTCATTTTACGTAACTTAGAAAGAAAAAAATGCATAACTAGAAATTTAAAAATTATATATCTTACAGTTCACCACCAAAATGAATGTCATGATGGATCTAAAGTATTTTCATCTTCGTCATTGTCTTGGTTTTGATTCTTTCCTATTCTATGTGAAGAATACATCATATTATGTGCATCATAAGATACATCATTGGTAGGAAACATGTTGTATGATAAATGATGACAAAAAAAATCATAACTTGGATTTTATTCATGGTAAGGTGGATAACATTAATTTGGTTGGTAAAAATGAGAATCATGAGATAATTCACTAATTTCATCATCATATTTCATTATCATTTGTAGTTGAACTATATGATGATGAACCTGCAAATGAATCATAAAATTATTCTCTCATTCTCCTATGAGTTCTATCATCATCATCTCTTTTATTTTGTGATGCATTTGTTCTATATAAACCTGAATTATCATCGTAATGATATATGGACGTACATTGATCTCCATAAAAACAGTAGAATAAATGTGTCTATAATCTGGTTGGTACATACCTTCATTATCACCATCATGATCATCACAACCAATATCATAATCGTCACCGTCATCATCATCATCATCATAACTTAACGTCGATAGTTGAGCATTTTCCTCATCAGATGGAGTAGGTGAACTGTTCATATCTTCACCTTGAGTTTCTTTATCAATTTCATTAACTCCTCAGGTAACCATGAGAAATTTTGTTCACTATCAAGTGTAGCATTTTCTCTTTCTTCAATCCATGCATTTAATATGTCATCTTCTTCAAAAATATTTTCAAGATTAATCGGATTAAAACACATTTCTAATTTTTGTGCACTTTTTCTTTATGTGTGTCTCAGCTTCAACCTCATATTATAATGTTTTGAAGTTTTTTATGCTTGAGCCTATTTCTCTTTTTTGTATGGATTAAACTAAAAGTACTCCAATTACGCTCACAATTTGAAGATGAAGTTGTTTGACTCAAAACTTTGACAGCGATGCGTTGAAGTTGCGGTACACAATTTCCATAATTAATCCACAATTATTAAGATATAATTTATAAAGTATTTATACAAATATATTTATTATCTACAAAACTATAGAGGACAAATTCTTTTTGTTTACCAGGGCTAGTCTTCAAAATTCCAGCTTGAGCTAATGGTGTTCCAAAAAAATCCATTTTGTCTAGATATAGTAACAACTAAAAAATAAATGAATTAGTAGTTTAAACATTCAATTTAATTTAAAATTAATCCCATCAATTTTATATATGAGAAAATTTTAATTTTAATTTTAATTAATTTAATTTTAAAATAACGTTAATAAATAATTTAATTAATTCAAATTTAAGTAACTAACTTTAAACATAACTATTACAATATTATTAATGATATATATATTTATAATCCAATTTTAAGAATTAAATTAGACCAATTCATCTATGTAATATTATATTTCAGATAATTTAAAGTTTATTGTGCCGTTATGGTGCAATTTATAGCGTGTTGCGGTGTTACATAACGGTTTTTTACCGTAACAATCATGATGTGGTTCTCTTATCGCGTTGCGCCGACATTACGTCGCAGTAACCTTAAAAAATGTTACGATGCGGGCGTTACGTTATGTTGCGACTGCAATTTAGTACTATGAGCCAACCCATCTTCGGCCCCGACTCCTAGGCCGACCACATCTCCGACCCCTGCCCCTACCATTAACCCTCCTCCTTCCCCAGCCCCGACTCTATCAGAACCATCTACGAATAAAACAAGCAAAGCACCGGGTGTATCCCTGCATCGACGTAAAACTAAACCAAGAAACAATGGACCATCTTCATCCAAGACCAAACCGAGCAACAATGGACCATCTTCATCAAAGACCAAATCGAGCAACAATGCAGGATCTACGCTCAAGGCTGAACCAAGCAGCAATGCACCACCTCGATCCAACGCTAACCCAAGCAACAATCCACCACCTCCATTAAAGGTTAAACCAAGCACTAATGCACCATCTCCATCCAAGGCTAAACCAATCATTAATCGACCATCTGAAGCTCCATCCAAATCGAACTCGAGCTCGACTACACCGCCGGTGGTTGCGCCGACAGAGGATTATAGTGACGAATATGACAACGTCCAGCCTTCAGCAGCATCGCCGCCTAAACCATCTAGCAATACACCACCACCGGCCCCGGCCACTTCTATTCATGCTCCAGATCCTGCTAAATCTACTGCACCTGAAAGTATAAGTTCTGGGAATTATCTTGCTTCAATTCTTATGATTCCGATTGCGTCTCGGTTCTCGTTTAACTTGTTTGATAGATTGGTTGGTTTGTTTCTTGAATTTTAATCTTTGGGTTGTACTCATCTACCATGATGACGTTTTTCAATCTTTGATAAATTCGAGTTGCGAATCATTACTCGACTCGACAAATCTCAATTCACATTAAAAAAAAAGAAGCATTCTCCTCGTATACATTAATGGTAAAAAACTAAAATTATAGTAATTATTTTAATTAAAAAGTAAACATATCATCAGTTTATTTAATGATTCGATATCAAAATCAAATATTATTAATTAGTTTTTTTGGTAATCAAAATTAAATATATTTTATAATTTAGTGACTAAATAAGTGATTTATTTAAATTTTTCTGATAATAACTATGTTTATTTTTATCGTTTGATATTTAAATTATACTCATTTTAATAGTATTTATTATAAACTTAAATATTTATCATTTCTGTCACAGTTTACCTTAAAAAATGTCACTAAAATATGACACATAAGGTGTTCTTGTTGATACTTAAATTATTATTTATTTTATGTGTTTTATTTATTTAAATTTTAATTAATGAACATGAAAGTAAATTAAAGTTATTTTTGGATGGAAAAGGTCTACAGTCAATATATATAGCAAATAAGATCAATATGGATGGGGCGGTATCCACCATTAGAGGCGATGCAACAATTAGAACACTTAAGGACGATGAAGCAAGCTAAATCTTGAATTTTCTAATAACATAGGAAATTGTTCGGTAAAACTTGCGTTGAGCATTAATTTAGGATTAATATAAGATAATATTTGTTCAAAAATAATTCGTTTATATTCTTGATATTTCTGATGTTCGAAATCGGCACCTCAAATAATAATAACGATTCTTTTACTACTAAAGTCATTTGGTTCGTACGAGATTAAATATTAAGAAACTTGTAATCGAAATGAATAATAACGATGCAGTTCGAATAGCTCTTGGGACTTCAAATATACTTTGTGATCATGCTACAGTGAAGTTAATCAAAAATTTATATAGAAGAAATTAAAAATATAAATCAATCAGATCACGCGTGAACAGAATCACATCAAATGCTTCGATGAAACTATGTCGTGACCAACCCTTAAGCAAGTCTCTATTCATTGCTGCGCCACCATTGATGAAAGTCATTGCTGTACAATGAACGTTGATAACTGCTGAATAAACATTAGATTTTCTTCTAAGCTATATATATATATATATCAAATAATAATTTACGTACGAGAATGAAATGAGAAAAAGAAGTAGATACTAAAGTGAAAAATAAGTATAATTTAGAGGTTAAATCTTAATAAAGCCTCCAGTAAAAAAAACTGTAAAAAATCTGATAACTTGTCATAACTATCTGCCACAAATATTGCCTTAATTAGTAGACATTCCGAAAATCCACCAAAAAAACTCCTCTCTCTCTCTCTCTCTCAATTTTCCTTTTTCTTTTTCTTTGGAAGAACGATTCAATATCTCGAAGGCATCAATGGCATCCGAAAGCGTGTATGTCGAGCATTGTAAAGGCATCAATGGCCTCGACAAGATCATCTTGAGGGAGAATCGCGGTTTCTCTGCTGAGGTTTTTCCGTTCCATTCTCTCTTTTTTCTCTTCTCCACGATCTTGCGTTTGCATTTTGTTGACCGATCAACTTGTTTCTTTTGTGATTATACCTCGGAATCTTGAAATATGTGTTGAAATGTTAACCGCATTGCAAGAAGCACCTTCGTTTTTGAAGAGATTTACGTTATTTGTTCTGTTAATTATTCGTTTTATAGATTTGGATCCTGCGATTATATTGTTGTCTCTATTATGAAACTAACTTCTGATGATTTGATCTTGTAACGGTTTGGATCAATAATTCTTATATTTATTGAATAAGTTTGCATTGAATTTAGATTAAAGAATGATTCATTCTTTTGTTGCAGCAGGAAATAGTTTGAATGTGTTTTGTATTGAAAAGAAGAGAAAGGAAGCTAAAATGTTTGAAGATCCAAAAATTGTATGAATAAATTGAACAACATAGTAGGAAAGGTTCTTGAAACCAAATTTGAGGTGCAATATTAAGCACATGTTTACTATTCGTGCAAGTTTTAATTAGTGAAAACTTTCCATCTGGAACATTTTTGTTGAGATGATGGGAGAAAATAAACTA